AAGAAAAAAAAAAAAGCAGGAACTGAATAAAAGCAGTGTCTTTTGAGATTAGCAGGATATTCACTGTTTTTCCTGGGAAGATGTCATTTGATGTTTTGCCTAAGAGTAATTCCGGTGAGGTATGGCTTCCCTTTCGTTTTTAAGATTATCTAGCCCTTCCACTTTCATTTTGACCTGCCAGGTAACAACACAAATTTAGTACTGAGGGGCTTTCGTAGCTGGACCTACTCCATGGGTCTGAACAGAGTCCCAGCAGCCATTCCATTGTTATTTTTCTAACATGAATACTGGTTGCTTCAGAAGATATGTTGCCATATTATTTGTACATCTGGAACAAATGCTCCAATTACCAGATTTTGTGAAATCAAATACAAATACGAATACAAGAAAAACAAAAATAAGTTACAAAGACAAGAAGGCAAAATACTTACTGCTAATGAGACACAGCATTTCTCAAAGCAAAGGTAACAAAAAGGGGGAAGTTAGGGCAATACTGAATTTTTAAAAGACAAACATGTTGAATCAGATGGCCTTTATCTCTCTCAGAAATCTTATTGCCTTTACTTCCTTGGCACTTTCTTCAAATACCCTTCCAACATCCTCAGGCACAACATGGGACAAAGACTTCCAATGGAAAAAAAACCCACATGAACCAGTACAAGTCCTGTAATCACAGTAATGAAAGGCAATTTTTCTAGTGTCTGTCATGCAGTCGCTCTGATGCTCTGAAGAGTTCACTAACAGAGACCATCTGAACACCAGTGATAGAGTTTAAATTGCTTACATGAATGTGCATGGCAAGAAGAGGAGATGACATTTATTTATTTTGAAAATCACTAAGTAGATATGCAGCCTTTCAAACTTTTCTAGAAGTTTACTCACCTCCCAGAAGGTGTTTTCTGGAAGCACAAGGATTTTTATTTATGTTCTTCAGAACTGAGATGAATATGCTCTGCTTTGACTTTATAGTTAAAGCTGTAGAAATAATTCCATAGGAATTATCCTTTTTTAACTTAGCCTAGATTTAATTTTTTTGATAAGCAAACAATAATATTGTGCAGTTAAATGATTTTGACCCAGAATTTTCTGTGAAGGAAGGGTGGCAGGGTTGTTGTACTCTGCATACATAAGCAAAACACTTAAGTTTATGAAGCGCTAGATATTTGTACTTTAATTCACTAATGTATTTTTTTCACATGGAGTATAGAAGGCAGATATCTATTTAAAGGCTTTTTCTTTATGACTTTCATCCTAGTTTGTGCAGGTGTGTATAGTGCTAGGTTTAAGGCTACTTGGAAGCTAAAAAGTGTGTTGCAGATGCATTTGCACAGATGCCATGTTCTCATTCTATCTGTGCTCTTTGAAAGTGTTTATATGGTAACATTTCAGAACTTCAGTTCATTCAGAATTAGCCAGCAGGGACAGGAGAGAGAGAATCCAGGGAAGTGATGGTACATGACATTTCTAGCAATCTTTTATCCATGATACCGCTACAAAGTTTGTTTGTAGTCATTGCACTTTTATTAAATTTAACTCCTTAGTTTTCCAAAGCAAATATAGTGAAATCATGGATTTGGCAACCGTAACTACCAAGGTCATTTCAGGAACATGTTACTCAGTCCTGATTAAAGATGGAACCGAGGGGGAAAATGGAAAATCAGACGCTGGAGGCCTAGATATTTTCTGCATATTCTCAGAAACATGTATTGCTTATTCTAGGGGAGGATTTAAAGTATTATTTCTATTAATCACTAGCTGTCACATAATTATTTCTCATTAAGAAAACTGATATGATTTGTGCAACCTTAAGTAAATACAGAAGAATTGTTATTTCACGTAGTACCTGCTAGAACAAATACACAGCATTAAAAAATGAAGTAGTGATGTTTGTTATTACTGTGGACTGTGGATAGAAGGAAAATGAGATAGACAGTAGCAGGTGTGGCTGAAACCCTGATATTTATGCATCCACTGAAGAACTTCCCAGTGGCACTCTAAAGGGGATAAATATTACTGAAGAACTTAAAGCCCTGTGATAGAAAAGGACCATGTTGAGAGGTCAAGTATATTTGATGCTACCCTCAGATGCATTTGGTGAACAATGAGGCAGTAATGAGGACAGGAAAATATCTACTCAGACTTCTTATGCATCATTAGTCAAGCCACTGGATATTATGGTTGAACTAAAAAAAATCAAGAAAAACAAACTGATTTTGGATTAAACTACTTTTTTTTTTTCATTTTCTCCCCAACAAAACAATAAACTGAAAAGAGGGTTGACCAGAAAAAAAACATTTTGTCTTCAGTTTATTTAGTCCTTCTTTATTTTAGTAAGTTCAATTTCAACATTGGTAATTTTGTTCTGAAAATGCTGTAATTAAATTGTTAGACTTTCCCAAATATGTTTGCTTTCTGAATGTTTTTTCAGAAACTATGTATTAAATTTGACCCAATTTCATAAATACTTTTATTCCCCCTTCATGATGTGTTTAACTGGTTAATCACATTCTCCATTGCCATTATTTTATTTCCCAGGAACTAAGACTAGTCATATTTTCTCCTTTTATCCTCCTAATTGAAATGCAGGATGCCTCATCACCAAAATACTTGAATGTGTTCCATTTTAAAAAACACCCTCCACAAAACCTCTTCACATAGAGCAACAATGGGAAAATAAGAAATCTGTGTAAAGATGTGTGCACGAGTGGAAAAAGGTGAGGGTGGAGAGATGGTTTTTGTGTGTGATCCCAAAAAAAGATGAGGTATTTGTCCATCCTTTCTGAGCTTCTTCCTTCAGTGAGCAAGTTGGGGAACAAAGGTGGTGCAATCCCTCAAAACAAAGACAAAACAAAGTAACTCCCAAGTAGCACCAACCTGACACAGAGTTTGTGTTCCAAGTCCAAAGTCCTGAATTAAAAGGGAGGGGAATACGTGTGTTGTTTATCTGGTTCAGACAGAAAAGCAGTAACCCAGACTCTCCAGCACTGATAACTGTGGTTTACTCAGTTTAGCAGCAATTTAATTTTTTCCCCAGGATACATATGTATGTGTTTTGTTCTTTAGTATAGTGAGCTGCAGTAATTAAGGTAACAAATCCACAGCCCACACAGAGGTCCACAGTTCAATGTACAGTTTTTCTGGCTGGTCCCTGATAGGAAGATGAAAGTATTTTAAAGACAATGATAATTTGGACAGCTGCTCTCTTAAAAAGTTAACAAGATCATAAGTCTACCATTAGTTTGACAATTGAAAGCCACACATCCCACGTGAGGGAAAAAAAAAAAAGCCAGTTCATTTATTTTGTGAAGCCTTTTTCCTCTTTTCAGACAAATAATCTCAAACTTGCCCAGGCTGAGCTTCAGTTAATTGTTTTGCCTCTCAGAGCAATCCTGAAGGGGACTGTGCTAAATTAAGAGTAAAGAGGATGCCTTGCTTTGCTTCTGAGGTGGTTCTGTGTAGATATTTGATAAGCCAGAGCACAGGAAGGAGCTGTTTGGGATGTTGCAGTGGGAGCCCTGGAGGTGGAGGAAGGTGTCCACTATGACTCAGAGACAGATATCTTAGCACAGTTCCCATGTAAATGAACTAAGATAGAAGTATAATGTTTAGTTGCTAATTACATTTAGACTCCTTTGGGGAACCCACCAAGATTTCTATGAATGTACAGTTCCAGCCAGTGAACAGACAGAATTAATCCACTGGTTTGCTCTGACAAGGGACCTAAAATGAACAATTACTTACACTGCTGTGATTGCCCTTCTTCAAGGTTAAATTCTCCATACAGATTCCAGTGTTGTTCTTCACATGAGATGATTTTTCTTTGAAGAGCAGTGAAAGCTGTTACATGATCTATCCATTTATTTATTCTTCTGAACTAACAATACTGCTTTGGGTTAATGATAATGATTTTTTTTTTCATTAGTAGCATCTTTATCCTTCATAAACTACATATTAAAAACAAAATTTAAAGATTAAATAATGAAAAAATAAAACCTGGAAGAGTCTTTGAAGGTTTCCTTATCATAGCTGATCTTCCAGGATTGACTTTTCATGGTGGACATATATAACAAAAAAATGTTTGTTCAAAAAATCCTCCCTACCTTCTCCACATTACCAAGTATTATTCTAATACTTAATTCCTACTGCCATTACATTTTTCCTAATGACTTGACCTGAATTTCACTTGGTGCAGTTTAACCCCAGCTTGCTGCCACTGGTGTGTTTAGATTTTCCTCTGCATTCTCCCTCTGCTTGAGACTTGATGAGCATCCAGGTTCCACAGCCTCATGATGCTGCTAATTCACATTCAGGATGCAGTCTCAATACAGTCCATTAGCCCTTGGTGTAGAAATGTTCCTTACAATGCCATTCTCCAGCACAGGCTGATAAAATTCATTCCTTCCATGTATGCCTTAAAGCCCTTTGTTTGCTGTTTTATCTTTTTGATTGGTGCATTCAAAAATTTTGTGTATTTACTCAAATATTGCATTCCTAAAATTTGTATATGTTGGAAGCAGCAAAGTGGATTTACAGTACTGCAAACGAAATCTTTGCTGTAAAATACTGCAATTTGTTGTTATCAGTTCTCTGTTCAAGGTAGTTTTAAGACACAAAGAAAACTGGGGGAGCTTATAGAGACATAATACATGTGTGGATTCAGGAGAATGATCAGGAACTATTAAAGCAGCAAAAAAAGCTTTATTTGGCTCTTTGAAACAAGATGTAGCTGAGGAATCTAACAGTAATAGTCTCATTTTGCAACCAGATTTTCAAAGAAATCATGCTTTGATTAATGATCTCAGAGTCTCTCTTGTTTCTTCATATTGGAACTACTGCAAGTGCCCAGATCAGATTTGAGGATGTGTTTATGTCTCTTTTAATGTTTTCAGAAGGGGCAGTGGCCTTGCTGTCAAAATACCATTGGGACTGCATTTCACTCCTGTACTGCCAGGTCTGTTCTGGGAATTCTTTCTAATACAGTTTTGATTTTTTTCTTTTAGGTAGAGAGGATTGTAGACAAAAGGAAGAACAAGAAGGGCAAATGGGAATATCTCATCAGGTGGAAAGGCTATGGGAGCAATGAAGACACCTGGGAACCTGAACATCACCTACTCCATTGTGAGGAATTTATTGATGAGTTCAACAGACTGCACGTTACCAGAGAAAAGCGATCCCGGCACGGGAAACAGGGCAGCGCGCCAAAATTACTGCGGGAAAGCCGAGGGTCGTCTGTGGAGAAAATATCACATAGACCTTCTGAATCTGGGAAGTCTAAAGGATCGACACATAAAAGGAAGAGAATTAATCCATCTCATCAAAAACAGAAACGAGGATATGCAGCAAAGCCAGGATCTGCAAATGACAGGGCTGCTAAAACTGTGACTTACCGAACTACTCCCAGCGGTTTACAGATCATGCCACTGAAAAAGCCACATAATGGTCTGCAGAATGGAGATGGCAGCCATGAGAAAGATTCTAGACATTTTGGGAGTGGCTCACAGCAGCAAAACGTGGATTTAAATGATCACGATGGAGAACAAAACTTGCCCAGCGTGTTAGAAGTCAGTAACAATTCCCCTGTTGTGAATGGAATTGGTATGTGATTTAAACAACTCCTCTGTGCGGGAGGGGGGTGTTAATTGCAGCAGCTGCAAGTAGGGCCCACTCGTGGAAAAATTGTTCTCACACAAGTGATGTGGTGAGAAGAACACAAACAAGTTCCACTTTCCCTATATATTATACACTTTTTTTTCATCAATTGGTTCTCTCTTTTCTTTTCCCACATTGTGACATGAGGCAGTGTGGGCTTTGTCACGTGCCTTTGCAGTGTAAATCCCTATGGGAAGTGAGGACAGGCCATGGAGTAGGAATGACCACTGAGATATCTATAATGCTGCAACTTTGGGTTTCTGTATCACCTCGTAACAAATCACTACTCAGTTAGGTGTGCTCAAACTCAGTGGTCTAGAGAAACCAGAATTATTTTAGAATTAATTCCACTCATGCTAAAGTGCCCTGGCAAGTGTGGCTGAATAAGATTCAAGTTCTCAGTATTAATGCTTGTCATAGTCAGGAACACTCAGAACAGCCAGGACCTTGTCTCTGACAGTAACTGGACACATCAAAAGTCTTAGACAGACTTTAGAGGAAGGTACAAACAGTCTTGAAGTGAACAAGAAGATGCAGGAGAAATTTCTCTCTAATCCTCATAGTTACTTTCTGGCTTAGTTCTCAAAGAATAAGGTTTATATGCTCTATAAAAACTATTCAGCCTAATGGAAATTAAATAGCTTCTCATTATCTATATGTGTCCAATCTTTTTGGTTTGTTTGTTTTTAATCCTACCAAATTTACAGCCTCAATGGTGTTTTGTGACAGTAATTTCCAGGAGTTAACAATAAGCTGCACATTTTATTTTATCAGATTTTGGGATTTGGGATTTTGGTGGGAGGGAGTTAATCTTTACTTTCACTGAATAGCTTCTTGTCCTTCTGTGAAGGGAAGAAGTGGAGGATGCCCTGTCAGCCTTTTCAGCCTTCCTACCACCTGGAAGGCTTTACTGATTCCTGAGAGTTTTGAGTATCCTCTTGTGCTATTGGTGTGGGGGGTGGTTTTAATACCTTTTAAAAACAGCAGGCGCTGTTCCAGATGATTTCCTACTGCTTACTGATAAAGTGACGATAGCTTTTGGAGAATTATTTTTTTCTGCTCTTACACACTGCATAAAGGTTTTCATTGAGTTATCCACAGTTGCTCTTGGGATTTTTTTCTTTCCTTGTTACAGTTAATTTAGAACACAGCTTTATGTATGATCCCTTTCACCATGCATTTAATCTGCTTTACTGTTGCCAATTCACCTTTTTATTTTGATTCAGTGAAGCTCTTCAAAATCTTTCCTAGTTTTCACTCTACTTATTTTGTATTGCCTTCAAATTTTCCTCTCATATTTCTCTTCCCAGTTCATTAATACATACATTAAATAAACTAATCCTTCTGCAGGTCCTTGGGACAGCCAACTTGACATGATGAAAAGTAACCATTTGTTCCAATTATTTATTTTTATTAGCTACTTTCTATAGCCCATGATAGTACTCATTTCCTTAACAGCTTCTGGTGAACTGCCCTGCCAAAAACTTTTCAGAAGTCAACATAAATTATATCACCCTGCTTTCCATTTTCCACCCTACTGGCAACCTGGCAAATGCTCCTTGATTTGGGAAGGAGAACTGACCTTGCTCCTATAGCCTTACTGGCTATATGTGATAGCTACTGGGATCCTTCAAATCAGGCATCAAATATGCTATTAAAAACTCCCAAACCAGCAAAATGCATGGTCAGATTTAAATGCACAAATACTCCTAATGATGTCGAAATTTGAAGTTAAAGCACTTTAAAGTGTATTTTGGCTTTCGCATTTTGAGGAGTTTGAGCTCATGTTAGAATGCTTGAAAAGTTACCAGCTTCTTTAAGACAATTTGCATATCTAATTGCAGATGTGTATAAAATTCTGGTGGTTTTTTACTGTTTCTAATGAAGTTTTTCTAATAGTTTGTTTTATGTTATTCGTGGGGAAGTTCTGATACAAAATGTATCTTTGAAATGCATTAATTCCCATATTTTAGAGTCTTTTGTTTAATGAAGAACTAAAGGGTCACAAAGAACTGTAAGGTCAAATGAGCCTTTCCTTTGTCCCCACAAGAGCTAAGCAATGGCCTCCAGCACCCCTGATTGAATAATCCCTGTCAGAGAGCTCTCGTTCAGTGGAAAGCTGCTTTGCCTGAGCAGCCAGGTGTTCTCTCCTGGCCCAAGAGCTGATCTCTGCAGCTCTTTTCAAACAGTTCTTTATGACAGCTTCTGCATTCTCCAAATCCATCACTTGTGTTCTGTATGTTGTTCCCCTTGCATTCTGTAGGCAAAAGTAAGAGATCTTTAAATCTCTGCTTGGTTCTTTTCTGAAAAGCCCATACTCAGCAGTACTGCCAAGGTCAGAAATGCTTCGAGTCCTGCTGTGTGATACCCAGCACATGCAGAGTGGAGAAAACTACAAAGAGGAGAGATGAGACTGCCAGAGTAAGAGTAGACAGAAATGGGTGAAAAGGGTCAAAGTCAAATCACTAGGCTTTTTCTTAATACTGCCCTACAAGCTTGAGAGAAGCCATATTTCCTGATACAGAGGTCTGAAATGTCAAGTGGAAGAAACTTCCACTACTCTTCACCAAGCCTAACAATTTCCTGAACTCCCTGAGCATTCACACCCACACAGAGGATGCCAGTGTGATTCTGCCCTGTGTCCCATTATTATCACAGAAACCCACTTTAATTGGGATTGATGCCACACTAAAACCAGGCTGAAATTTTACAAATTACAAATTAAGAAAGTTTTAGAGAAAAATGCCCAATTTGTTGAATAACAGAAATTTTGTTCCAAACATCTTGGGTTTCAAAACTTTCTCCAAATCTGAGCCAAAGTCCTAAGGCTGTATCCCTGGGGAGCAGGAGCAGTGTGGCAGTCTGCTTGGCAGGACTCCCACGTTTAGCTTGGAGGCAGCCAGCTATGCCAGAGGTTTCAGGCAGTCTGCCACTGAGTCTGGAAGTTGAAAGCCTGGCGTGCTCCATCAGCACTCACAGGGCTCCCAGGCACTAGATGTGGAACAAAGAGGGAGCCTGGAGGACCTCGTTTGGCTCCCAGAAGCTGTGGCTCCTGGGCAGCCCTGTTGAGAATCCGAGGAAGCAGACATTTGTGTCAGCTTTGAGATTGCCTGTATGGAACCCAAATGAATGTCAGATTCATTTCACAGCTAAGTGTAAGACTGCACAGAAAATATGTATAGAAATTTTAGGTTTGTCTTGAGATGAAACTTAGATTTGGAAAACTTCCCTAAGTTTAAAAACCCAGCTGTAGGCCCAGTGCTCCTACCAGTGTGGGCCTATGCTTGAAGGTCTCCAAACCCCACCAACCTGAACCAGTATTGTTTCATATTATAATAATGTTTAACCACCAGTGCATTGAACCAAGCAATATAGACAGTAATGTTTAAACTAGAAGTAATCAAATCATAGCTATTTTGTTTGTCTGTCCATGCCAGTTCTGTTCAAACAAATAACAGCTATTTGTAAAACAGCTTTTGATGACTCCTTGAATTAACTTCCACCATTTGTGTATAAATCCACTTGAGTGCAATTGTTTCTTCTTCAGCCTGTAGACAAACTCCCATCGGGGAGCTCTTTACCCCGCAAGGATGAGTGTGTACCTACAGGTGTGTGCACAAAATGTTCAGTGCACCTCACTGGAGGCCTGGGACCTTGTGGAAGTTGGGACAGATCTTTAATACCAAAAATTGTCTTCTACCTTCCACACGTCCTGCCATAAATAGAGCAGAATCTTTACTGACAGTTATTTAAGGGTCTGCAAATTGGAAAATACTGAAAAACTCTGTGAGGAGTATCCATTGATGCTCCCAGGAGCTAACAATACTGGTTTTTCTGATGATATTTGTTGTCTTCTGTTACCACATTTCTGTTTCTCTCCAGATATTGTAATTCAGAGTGATTGTTTTGTCAAGTTTCTTGACAGCATCAAAAAACATCCCCTTTTAATTTTCTTTCCTTTTTCTGCATCGCTCTTTTTCTGTACCATCTGCTGGAGAATTTCTGCCTGTCATGTATCACTAACCACTGTTTTTCTCCATTACGAAAATCTTTGTAGTCTCATGGTGCCCTTGATTTAAATACTCTCGGTGACTTAGTCACGGCTTCCTCTTGGTTTTTTAGCTTATTCTGTTTTATTTATTCTGAAAGAATACTGGCAGTAAAAGACAGGCAGACATGCTTGCTCTCAGTTTGGATAAAAACTCATTGCTTTTAGATATCTTACAGATGCTCCCTTAGCTGGAGAAGTCTGAAATTATTAGTAAATTATCAACAGAACACAGCTTTTAAGTATGTAGAGTATTAACCATTACCCACAAGAAAGACAGAAAAGAGGCAGTTAAAGGCTGCTGGGTAGATTGAGGAATGCCAAGCTGCTTCACCAGGGAGAGTAAGGGAGCATGTCTAACTTCACCTAGAAAAATTAAAAGCCTCAGCTCCATCATCCTTTCCATTCACCATAAATGCATACTGCTAATAAAAAAAGCAGTCCAGCTGTCGTTCCCATGACACCGTGATTGTTATTCCCATCCCTCCCTCTGCACCAATTTTAGTACTCTTGAGGCTACAAGGTGAACTGCATCTGTTTGAAAATTAACCAGTTTTGCAAGGTCAGTTTCCAGCCAGAGCAGATCACCAGGCCAGTTCATGGTGTGGCTGCTCATACCTGTACTTGGGGTTGCCGTGGTGGGTCATGGCACAGGGACTGCACCGTTTCTGATGGAACACTCAGAAAAGATGTATCTGAAAATAACAGGAGCTTGAGGTGTCCTCTAGCAGAGGGCAGAAGCAGTGGAAGGAGATGTGGAGCTCAAAGTCCCCCAAAGCACTGAGGGTCAGTGTGATCTTTCCTCCCTTTCCCACTCTTTGTCTGCCTCAGCTTTTTGGAATATAAATTTCTAATGTGTTTTCTGCAGTGCCTGGTAGAATGGAGCCCCAGGCCCTTTGGCAGTGGTGGCATACTGTAGAAGATGCAGGGATGGGCAGCTAAAATGAAGAGGGTTACAGGAATAAAAAATCGTACACTTAGGAGAGGGGGTGGCTGAGGGGCAGCATGATCAAAGTTTACAAAATTATCAAGGCCTAAGATACACTAAATGCAGAACTGTTGCTCCTGAAATCCCTTGATAGCAGAACTAGGGACCACTCACTGAAACTGGTGAAACATCAGATAAAAGCACAGATGAAAGAAAATTCTTCTCTGTGTAGTGGCTACCCAACTTCTCAAACTCATACCATAGGAAGCTGTGGAGACAGACAGCATCAACAGGCTCAGAAGGGGATTAGAGAAATCCATGAAAAGGTCCACAAGCAAACATTGAAGGAAACAGGAGGGATGAGCCCCTTCATATTTCTGTACAACACTTGGGGATGATACTATGGGAAAGGACTGCAGAAAGCAACCAAGCTTGCATTTTCTCCTTAAATAGCATCCTTTACTGACATTTTTTACTGCCATTCTTGGAGAAGGATTACTGCATGAAGCAGTGGTCTGGGAACATCTTAGTTTCCCTTAAAAAAATATTGAAGCTTTTTATAAATATATGTTGGCTTATAAATGTTGCCTTAGGTATTCCACAAGTTCTACTGCTGATTAAACACAAAGTAATAATTAGATTAAACTCCCAGTAAAGGAAGGAATATTTTATCCCATTCTGTTTTCTTTTTGTACTTAGACTGAGCATCTAACACTCACTTACTATTAAGCCAGAAAACCACACTTAGATGTATCTACAGCTTCCTTAGTTAATTTGGGACATCCTTAATTTGTTTTGTGTTCAGTATAAATTGCTTTGAATCTTTGAATGTCTGTTTTTGCCTGTCACAGTCATTTTTCACCTTGACATACTCAGGTGCTGCTCCCCTGGTGTGCACTGAGCAGGTGCTGACTACTGACCCTCATGGAGGGACAATCCCAGTGGCTCCAGTGGCTCCAGAGCAAACCTTCAGGAGCTCCAGCACCTCCATGCAGCAGACGTGCTAAACTGGCCTGGGTCCACATCAGTGTTGTCTTTAGAGTGTGCTGATCATTTTCTCCAGTTTATCGGATTAAACAAGATTACAGGGATGCACTGGAGACATGGAAACAACAAGCTACTCACTATATATTGTTCTGTTAATGATCCACTTTTGGAAATGGCACTTTTTCATTTATGTTTCTCTCATATTTCATTTAGATCTTTCCACTGGTTAAATTTCTTTCTGCTGGCATCCAGGTAGTTAAAATACTGTGATAAGATCTATAGTTTCTTACATCATATATTCATTTACCAACTGAGTACATCGGGAAGAATAAAACAAAAAAAAATTATTGTGAGGCTTCTCGTTGAGGTGGATTATCTGAGTGAATGAATCTTCTATTCTCTTACCATCTGTATTTAAAATAGATGTAGCATAATCTTCCACACTAGGTAGATAATCAGAACAGTTAGTCTGACACACCTTCCATTCAATGGGCATCTGTGCCTCTGATTTTGTAAGTTCTTTACAGTTTTTTGGGAATTTGAAATCACCACAATTCAGTAGCTTATTGCTGGTTAAGCACTGAATAGATAAAAATGCAATATTTAATAGCCTGCCTCAGTCAGAGAGTTAATTATTTTCAGTACATTATTCCCAATGACATTCGTGTTCTTTAGTAATTTCACAATTTGATTTCTGTTTGTAAGAATACATGTCCAAAAAAAACCTTAGGAGAAAGCAGAAACGTGCCATAGGAAATTATTCGTAGCATTTAAAGTTCAAGCACATGGTAATTTCTACACTTGTAGACAATTTTTGTCAAGAAAACAGATTTCCAACACTTCTGGTTTCAAATGTTTTTTTAAGTGATGATTTAATGGAATTTGGCCATGTTTGCATTGCACCAGGTAAATCCTCTAATTCAGTATAACCCAGGCAATTCTTCAGATGGTATCTCTTAATTCAACAACAAAAAAGAGTTTCCTGATTGACTGAGCAGGCTCGTGGACAAAGGTGGATCCCCATGTGTAGATGTGTGAGTCCCCACATGCACACACCACATGAGACCCAGTCACACACCACTGAGCACTGGCTGTGTTTTCACATCCCATCCCTAACTGCAGTGCACATACAGGATTTCACACACTGTGAACAATTCCACAGACCACTGCCAACTGTGAGGTGTCAGACAGATCAGTTCCCTACGTAAGCATCAGGCTGAAACATAGCTAATCCAAAATGAGGGTAAGTGATTTTGATATAGAGTCATCTGTCATGAATTCACTGTTCAATTCTATTCCAGCAGAGCATTTTTTTTGGATGGTGGTCACTTAAACTATAAAATTTAAATCTGTATTCTAATATTCATGTCGTCTGCCCTTTAAAAATTCTTGGCTATTTGAAACCAGGAGCTGGAACAGGTCAGCTTTGGCAGGAGTAAAGAACAGAACAAACAAAGGTGTTTTCATTCAGCTCTCTGTTGGCCTTTCTTAAAAATGGTGCATTGTGGGCTGGGATCTATATAAACAAAAACCAGTGACTTCAATCTCTGTCCCTCGACAACCTGTCTCTGCTTTATTTTTAATGGCAATAGTGTGAAACATCTGTAATTAGTAAAGGATTATTGTATACAAACCTTGTAAAGCTCCTTCAACACCCCTGCTCAGCACTTACCAATCATCATCTATTGCCTGTTACAGAAACACTGTAGATACCAGCAAAGGAATGGTTTGCAGTTCATACACAGTGTAAGTCAGAATAAACTGTCTTTTAAAACTGACATACTATTGCTCTTACTTGTTTTTAAGGAGGAATTATATCTTTCTTCTCACAGTTCTCTTTTTCCCCTACTGCTGGATACTCTCCAAAATGGCATAATTCCTTGGGTCTAGAGGTTGTCTGATCAGAGAACAAAAAGTTCTGCACGTTGGAGTACAGAATAAGAACAATGGCTTGAGGCCACATTTGACTAGCCAGGCACATTTTTTATTCATTTTTTCTTATTATTTTATATTTATTTATTTTTGTTGAAGCTAATAGAGAGTAGCTCTCTCTTTTTTTTGATGGTATAGGGGTAATTATGCTTCGATTCTTTCCATGTGCAAGGTTCTTCTCTGGCCAATGGAAGCTTGAATCTCCACAGCACTGTGAAAAGGAAACTTGATGGAGAGAAAGATTATGTCTTCGATAAGAGACTGAGATACAGCGTGCGACAAAATGAAAGTAACTGCCGCTTCAGGGACATTGTGGTCCGGAAAGAAGATGGTTTCACACATATTTTGCTGTCAAGTCAGACTTCAGAGAACAATGCACTGACCCCAGAGGTAAGTGTTTAGCCCTAAAAGCCAAAGAAAGCCATCCTAATGTGTGGGTTGTCTTGCAAACACTGCACTTGAATTCAGTTTTATGGTTTTTTTCCCCTAATTGATGAACTTAGAAAAGAAATAAGGAGTACAGACATATCTAACTTTTTCACACTTGGGATTCCTATCCAAAAGAATGCAATGGAAATTAAATTTTAATTCACATGTCTGAAAAAAAAATAAAAGTAATGAAAGGAATGGCAGAATCAGTATTTCCAGCATGGAATTGTGTGAAGCAGCTTTTCACACATTGAAGTTACTGATATTTACTATCCTTAGGAGAAATCTGGTCTCTTTCCTTTTACTAATTTAAATTGTGCTCTAGTTGAATGCAGTGAATTTCAGTCTATATCCTGAGACAGCTGTTTTAAGTTCTATCTTGATCCCTAATTACTTTTTCTCTGAATCACTGTATGAGTCCTTATTTATGAAATCTTAACCAATTAGGGGCTCTATCCTCATCTGAATTGCATAAAGTCATACAACTTATAAAAGATATAAATGAATTCTCTTGTTCCAAACATTATACACACAATGGCAGACTCAGACTTGCAGCTTGTATTACCCCAGTACACACATGGATTACTGGAAGGGCAGAGGAGCTTTTCCTTCCATTCCCTGTGGCTGCAATGCCCTGTTACACCATTCCCATGTCAGAAGAAAAGGGGTGTCCATAAGTGCTTGCATCAGGGTGGATATCCTGGAGAGAAGAGAGCACACCTGAGCCCTGTTCCACACCAGCAGTAGTGGCCTGGTGGACAGGGAGGGAACACCAGGAGCTACTCCCCAGCACCAGCCTGGCCTGTCTGAGCATCCTGCAGGCAGAGTTCCTCCAAGGGCTGCCCTCACTGGGGAGATCTCAGCCTTTTGTTCCCCCAGACACTCCAGCACAGCTCTGTCCAACACAGCAACTTCAAGATAAGAGTGTATGAAATACCAGTTTGAGCACCACCTGAGGGAAGAATAGACTGTAGCTTTGAGTAATCATTTAATTCAATAAGAAAATTAATAACTTTGAAGTTAATTACTTAAAACAGGCAGGTATGATGAGTCCCCTTCCCAAATGCACACATACACACGGGCAGTAATACATGGAGTGATATTAAATGGCTAAAACTAATGGTACATAACATTTATCCCTCCTAGTTTTTAAACTATCTAATATTTAGAAGGACTAGCTTGATAATTATCACAGAACACCAAACACTTTTAACACTAATTCCTTAAAATGCATTAGATTGCATCAAATCCATCACACCATCTCTGTCTTAATTACCACTAATTGACACTGCAGGTAATTTAAATGAAGGAGCTCAAGGGCTTGAAAAAATATGAAATCATGGACTTGATGTGTTCAGTCAGAACAGACATACCTTTACATTGCTGGCTGTGCTGTTCCACATCAGCAGTATTCAGATGCTCTAACCAGGAGATTAATTCAGGCTCTCTGGATCTGCCAAACCAATCCATTTCATCCTTTGAAAGTTTTCAATATGCCAGGAACCCACCTCTGTGGAAGAAGAAATGATAAGCGTGTAATAGTCCTGTCCCTGCATCACCAGCGTAGACTATTCCTAGAACCTTTATTGAAGCTCACTTGAAAACCGGGAAATACATTTTAGAAAAGCACTTTACTGACCAGGTTGGTGAGGAATTAATCAGGTATTGAGTTCTCCACATGGAGATTGTCTGTTTAAAGCTTATCCAGGCCAAGAACAGTCGCAGGCTCTTGCCCTTGGAAGACTCATGGCTGTAAACATGAAACAGCTTCTTTGGCCTCAGTCCAGGCTGCTGCCCATGATCATTCACACCACAAAATCCAGCACCTCCAGGACTGGCAGTATCACATTCTTGCTGGCAATTACAGCAAAAACCCCAGGAACTGAAAGGAGGAATGTGTTGAATGACTTGTCCCTGCAGTTTGTCACCCATAGCCATAGGTGAGACAGACTGACAAAGTGTTTTAGGGAGGTTTAGAGCATTTTCAGTTTTGATGTCTTTTATCCCCAGTGAATACAAAGTACAAACACACAATTTCTACAAAATGAAGGAAGTGTGTTTCATTTTGTGTAAAGAAATGCTAACTTCAAGCTTTATTAGACATTCAGTAAATTATGTTTGCCAAACAGCAAATGAATCATTTATTCAGAGCAGGTCTATTTGATGTGCTTAAATAGTGGCCTGGTTATACCCAGCCATCTGTGTTAAAGAAAAAAAAGATGTGCACTGGAAACAAGCATTTTAAACTTAAGTTGATACAAAATCCCTCTTACTCCTCAACAGTTCTGCTTCCCTTTGTGCTTTATAGGAATCTTCAGATGAAATGTAATAGTTATGTTCAACCATTGGCCCCTGCTATTTATTCCAATTTAATTTAAATAGCAAAGAACTTATTTATACCAAAAAAACAAAAAAAAGTCTAGAGAAGTTTACCAGAGTCTAGAGACTCCTCATCCTATATTGTTGGTAACCCCATTTGTGCAGGTGATTTTATCATGAAATGTGCCAATGCTCTTTCCAGCAGCCTTTGCTCTGATTGAAGTTGGCTCAGTGCCTTTTCAGTAATTGAGTTTTTTCTACAAAAATGTTCAGGGCACTATAGAAATTCTTTCTTATTTTTTACAAGATCTTATAAAACTTCCAAGACAGTGTCATGAAACAGCACAGCTTGTTCTTATTTCTTATTTGCCACTTTTAAGATTTATTTTTTAAATACATTTGTGAAATATTTTATTATTAATTCCATTAGGGCATTTTTTCTTGTGGGACTTTTGCTACTCCTGAAGCTCCTTCTCCAGTGATGCTGCTGCTGTTTTAACTCAGCACATCTCCAGGATACAAATTCTGTTTCAGACTAAATGGACCCATCTGCTCTTCTCATTTAACACTATTAACAGAGCTAGAAGTTAATATTCCCCTGAATTAAAAGCAAAACATTCCCTAAACAGCCAGTGCTTCCATCGAAGAGTGACAGAACTACCTCAAGTACCTTCTCATATAGAAGAATCAGTTTCAAATTTCAAATGTGAATAACAGTTTAAAGTTCTGCCAGGTGCGTTTTGGAGCACTGGTTTGCCTTCATTTTTCCTAAGCTGGAAATAATATAAAAGAGGCAGGTACAAATTTACTGTTCTCTGTAGTTCTGTTCTCTACAAAAAAGTAAATTGTGGATTTGGGCCATGCTTATGGCTACAGCTTGAGCTGTTCCCAACTCCTTTAGGTGCAGACAGAAAGGACTTGGAATCAGTAACACAAAGTTTATTTATGTAAAAAGGCTCAAGTGGGGAAGAGCTTCTAAGAACAATGGAACAGCTTTAAAATTTGGGTTTATGGTAATATTTACAGAAAAATTTCCTTTTAGAATATCACAGTCCTCAGAGATTCAGAGAAGTTAACTTTTTTAACTAGTGCTTCTATTTATATGAACAACAGACTTCTATTCAAGATACTTTGTGTAATGATGGTGATAAATTCCCAGCTTTTTTATTTTCCCAGAATGTAAGCAAGATGGAAAGCAAAGGGCACCAAATGCCTTTGGAAATTTCCAGCAAAAGGCATTAAAATAAACTCTTAGAAGTTTAATGAAGTTTTTAACTGGTTCATGTTTATTTTGAAATATAAGATGTCCTGTTCAAAAACTGACAGGATTAAAAATATAAGCAACTTCTGCGGAGGTGATAATTTTATTATATATTTGTGTTTCAATAAATTTGTGTTTTCAATAAAAAATAAAACAGTAAGTGAAGCACTAGGTCTGGTCTAAATTTACAATCCAGTCAACTATCATAACCTAAATAACTGGCCCATACTGTTCTGTAAATACTTCCTTGGAAATTTTCATCAAATGCATTCAAATAGAAATACTGTCCCCACAACTGAAAATTACCTAAAAGGCCATGAAAAAGCTAATTAATAAAAGCACGGATCTGGAGAACATTGCTTAGGAGCTCTGGAAATAGTAGTATTAGATCTGGTCCACTAGAGAAAATAAAATTTAATTGGACAAATGCATAGAGCAAGATGGGGAAAGGTTTAAGGGCTTTGGAAGAAAGAAAGAGAATATGGAATCTGACAAAGAAATGTAACCAAAGACAGGTTGTATCTTTGTACTTGAGGACTGAATTCACCACCCCATTAAACAGAAATTTGTCCTTAAAAACAGAGAGCAGTTCTGAACTAAAATTATGTTTACTTTACAGTACTACAGTTCAATAAACAGTTCTACAACCCTGCAGACAAACCAGCTCTTTTATAATTATTTTCCTGTTTGTAGCTTCCCTGTAATCATAGAAATAGCTGGAGAGAAATGCCCATCCCCAGATAACCCACAGGGAAAGCCAAGGCTCCAGAGGCAGTGGTGAGCAGCAGTTGCTGTAACCAGGCTGAGTGACAAAGGGACGTGGGGAATTTTGGACTGCACCAGCAAAGGAACCATGGCAAGGTTCCTGACCAAGGGAGTGAGCATTGACTTGGCTGGCATTGCAGGACCCAGTGAGCCTCCAGGCATCTTTGGATGATAATGACAAACTTAAGGCTCTTTAGAAAAAAAACATACTTTTTGGAGCCTGAAAATGCTGATACATAATGGTTTCCTGATTTCTTTTGATAGAAACAAGTGGAGCAGGGGAACTACATTTCCTCTCCTGCTCAAAAATAGTAACCAAAGCCTTCCCACTTTTAACCATATCTGAGGAATAAGTTCCTAATAACAGACTCAATGTCATCCTCTCCAGAACACTGAAGAAGCAGCAGTGGCAGAATATTGGTTTTTCTTACAAGAAATGTAACCTCTGCTCAAAAATTTGGATGGGTTTTAGGTGGCTTTAGTCATCCAGATCAGTGAGGGGCAAGATACAAAAGAGGCAGGTTTGTAACAGTAATGATGTGTGTGAAGGAGAGCACTGGGAATAGCAAAGAGGTGGCACAGAGGCAAATACCATTGGAGGAAGGGGAATAATAAAGAAACTTGCTGAATGGGTATCGTGGCATCATACTTAATACAGCATCCCTCACTGGATCAAAAAATGTTTAACTGGTATTCCCTAATACTATTTATACAGTCACCCTAAGAAAGAGCAGATTGTGACATCTTCTACAGTGAATTAAGAGGACAACATTGCATTCATATGGAACTAGGAAAACCAAAACACATATCTTTTTATTTTAATATCTACCACATTCTAAAGTTTCTCTTTTAACTCTGAACAGAGGTTTTCCCCCTTTGTTTCCCTATTTTATGTGCAGTGTTGCTGTGTTTCCCCCAGCTGAGGGCTGAGACAGCCTCTGAGACTCTCAGAATAAACAGTGCTACTAAAATTGCTGATGACATTTTTGTACCTGCATAAGAATTTCAAATACACTTCCAAATTCTGCAGCTTTTAATTACTTCACTTCCACCCACTGTCACACACTCAGTATTACAGGCATTCTGAAGTGCTCTTGTGGAAGTGAAGCATCTAAAAGTTCACCACCTGCTCTCTCATGCCCAGTCCCAGCAGCCAGTAATTCTCATCTTTACACAAACCTATAGGGAAAGCAGCACAATCCATAGGATTTCTATTAAAAATCTACCTAGGAGGTGGCATCAATAAAACTTCACTGTTTAGGGACACTTCTTAAACAAGGAACTTTAGTGATCTAAAGAAGCTTTGGTAACAGAAAGTAGTGAACAGAAATAATCACGGGCTAAAAATCCTGGGTTTCTCTCACATGGAAGCTCTATTTAAATCCCCAGCCACATTTAGCTCTCTCTTACCTAAATGTACACCAACAGCAAATCTTTCCATGCAAAAGATAAAAATTTGAGAGGGCAGGATCATGTCTACAGGAAATACTTTGACATATGGGTATGATTAAGGATAGGAGGTGTCACACTAGATGAAATCAGGGCCATTGCAGTGAGGAGCACATTTATAGAGGAGAGGGGGCTGAAATGAGTTACAGCTCCAAAACCACGCCCAGCTGTGACCAAACAAGTTACCCATCAGAAGTTTATTAAATAATACTTCCTTTTAAAAATCATTAGGAACCAATTCTCTGCTCAGGTGAAAGGCCATTTTCCTACAATACCAGCAGCTCAATTCTATATAGATTTTGATTAGGTTTGATTTATGGTGCAATTAATAGCTTCATCCAGTTGTACAAGAAAGTAAAAATGTCTCTTTTTCAAGGGACTTTGATGATTTAACTTTTGTAAACTGTAAAAATGTCAGTCACCACAGAAAAATGAATAATATATTTGTCATATTGATGTATATGATGTCCTCTTGTCCCGCTTTGCTCTGGTTGAAGTCATACAAACCAAAGTAGTTGAAATACTGAAAACTGGGTTTTGCAAATTTTTCTTTCAAGCTGTTGAGGTTAATAATAGGTTTTTGCTGTGATAAACATGTTCCCGAGGATACAGTGATGTACACAATGAAAATAAAAAAGTGAATTTGAAACTATTAAATTGCAATCAAATAGCATAAGCTGGGTAGAATTTCCCATACAACAAAGAACCGCCAAAGTCCCAAAACCTCTTTGAATTAGTAAAACATCAACAAAGCACTGCCAAATATAAAATACTTTGCAAACTCTCAGTGTTATCATTCTCATGATTCTAATATCATTCTATATTAAAATTATATATATAATTGATGTAATTATTAATAGTGCCCAAAATTTAAGTCTCTCAAATTCGATAAGGTTTGTAAAAGTAGGGAAATGATATTGCCACGGCATGCATGTCGAATTGTTTACTTTTCTTTATCCACAGATCATGAAGGAAGTTCGGAGAGCATTGTGCAATGCATCAGCTGATGACAGTAAACTCTTACTTCTCAGCGCAGTGGGAAGTGTATTCTGTAGTGGCCTAGATTACTCATATTTAATTGGCAGGTTATCCAATGACAGAAGAAAGGAAAGCACTAGGATTGCAGAAGCTATAAGGTGACCCAAGCTTACCTATGATCTCTAAATTATGAAATGCAGTGTGTGATTATAAAGATATTTATCAGGTCCAAAAATGTTGTATATTTAAATGTTGATTGCATTCTAATTTAGTCCTGCAAATTTGTTTAGTAAAAAGAAACTTGGACCTTTCCATATTAGAAAAGAAAGCACATTTATTCCAGTGCTAATACCCATAGGGATTTATTTTATTTTAATTCTCTGTATTTAATATTTGAAATCATTCCTCTAAATTCAAATACAACTTCCTTGTTGTTTTTCCAAATTCAGTATTGCTTCATGTTCTTAAGTGGCTCCTGAAAGGCAGATCTTTGACTTGTTTTAATGTTCATCATTTTAATGAATTTCAGTCCAAATGGGAATCCATGGCTTACTCATATTCTGTTGAAATAGCAGTCTGCCACTGTATTTCAGAACCTTACTAGAAGGGTCTCCACTCTTCTTCTTCAATTTAAATTACTTAATATATATGTAAATGTAGTTTTATTTTTGTAACTAAAATGTGACTTTCCTTACATATATATATATATCACATCACCTTAATAGAATTCCAGGGTTTATGACATGCAGTCTGCAAATCAATCTGCACAACACATCACCAAATATTCCATTATCCACAAGGTAGATTTTCCAGTATAAATCAACATTATTCCAGTCTGTACCAGGAGACGATTTGGTGCCTTTTTTTTCTCCCATTTCCTACAAATAAATATTCTTCTAAGAGCTTTAAAACTTCATGCAACAATTCTATGAAAGAATATTAAAGAATTTTTTTACAAGATATCTCTACTTGGGATTTAATAGTATAACATAAGGTCAGGTTTAGGTATTTCACAAAATGTATTAACCACCAATTATCTTGGTTACAACTACTGCAGATCAGTTTGGATTCCGGGTTAAAAACTTTTGAAATTCTCAAAGTAGCAATTATTTGGAAGACTTTAAAAGATGCTTCTTAAATGTAGTAAGTTACAAACTCTTTATAAGACCCTAACTATGCTTGGATATCTTGGGGTGATATTTTTTAAAAGAGAAACCCTTTGAAGGACACAGACTAAGTTTATTTTTTAATTGTGAGGGGTTTTTAACAATGTGGAACCAAAAAAAAAATTAGGGAAGAAAATCACTATTCATGTTTGAAAATACAGGCACACTCACCACCCACCAAAAGATACAAATTTGGTATTACTCTTGCAAAAACTGTGCAGTTAGATGTTGTTATATACGTTTACATTCATTTGCACACATCTAATATTCAGGTATACTTATCAATCCAACATTTAAATAAGTATAAGCCAGACTGTTATACTCTGTTTTTCCAACCTTGGACACACAGAACACTCTTGAAATACTGGTACAATGTACTGCTCCTTGTCAGGAACGTCGGTTTCAGGCCCACTGAAAATAGATTTTTATTGTACTTCTGGAAACAATACCCTACGTTTTCCATTTAGCACTCTCTGTGCTTTCTGTGAACAAAGGACTCAGCTCATGGAAAATAAACTGTAATAAGAGAAGAAAAAATGTTTGTATGTCCTAAAATACATCCACGGATCTCTGCCTCCACTGCTTTACATGAAGTTAGGCTTGTATCAAAGTGAAATTGAAATCTTGGTTACCATGTGTTTCCACTTTCCAAAGAGTGGCTCTCCTACACCAGTCACGAGTTACAAATGAGTTTCAATCCCTGTCAAGTCTCCTCTCCCATTAATGGTTCATTCATTGGTGCCATGTTCTCAGCCACGGTGTTGTGGGACCTCAGCCACAAGATTCTGGGTGTGCTCAGAAGAAAACAGACAAGGACAAAGTTACTTGCTCAGCTTCTTTACAGCCCTGGATGTACCTACAAGCCGTGACCAGCAGCAAGAGCTTGAAACAGTGCAGAGGTGTCTGAGCATCCCAGCGTGTATTCATTCGATGGTCAGCCTCCCAGATAGGCTCTAGCAAATCCAGAAATCTTCTGCAGGAATATCTTTTTCCTATGTTTGAGCATCTGGATCTACTGTGCAACAACAGCTGTAATCTGAAATCCTTCTCAAAGACTGCTTTGAATTGAAACAAGGATCTTGTAGCCAGGAACTCACTGTGTGAACTTACAGTTTGGAGACAAGGAAATGTGCCAGGTTCAGGGTACAGAGATGGCCCACTGAAACAACACACCAAACAGGAAACAAATAAATGGAGTGCTGGTCACTGCAGCTTCTGGAGACCAAAGGCAGGCATTTGTTCCCCTCATCATCTCGCGGTATTGTAGCCTTCCACGCCATCCTACAGGTAGCATGTTCCACACCCATCCATTTTACCGTCCTCTGTGCTCCCCATTCTTCCCTCGTGACAGAGGCTTGCTGTGCCTTCTCAATGTTATATTCCACTCTCCAGGTCCTCCCTTCCTTGCTCACTCATATGAAGATTTCCTTCAACCCTTCTCCTCCATTAATGTGTTCTGCTGTGTTCTTCCTCCACATTATCTGTTTCCTCTCCATATCCCTAATTGCCTTTCCATATTCACTTCCAGTCCCGTTTATCACCATGATTCCTGCTTTTCTCCACAACCTTGGTTTTATCTGCCTCCACACGGTCCTCAGATTTACTGCCACCATTTATTCTTAGTTTTCTTTTTTTTTACTTATCATTCATCTCATCCCTATTCCCAACTGTAGTCCTGTCTGGAAGGCTTACGTAATTACTGAGGTTCTCAAAACTCTGGAATTAATGAGGTGCAGTGATCCACAGTCACTACACAGTCGTATACAACCAAAGAAATAATGAGATGAGGGAACAGCATTGTTTCTGCAACAAAACAAATCACAACTCTCCTTAATCCTGCTGTCTTCTTTCTTCAAGACAGAAATGGTCTTGAACAGACAAAAACAAGATTCCTTATTTCACTCTCTTTATCTTGACAGTGTTGCTCACATAATCTCCCAGTATTGTAGCCTTCCACTCCACTTACTAAATTTAAATTTTATGAAACTTAAAGGTTTACAACTGTGAACAGAGCTGCATCAATTCTCTATTTTCCCATGGTCGAAAATTAACTCCTTACTAGAGGACTTGAAAACCAGAATGTATTAATTGAAAATTTAGTGCTGGGTCATCTCAGACTCTTTGTCCTCATTTAAAATACAGCCAATGCCCCTGCACTTCAGCCCAGTTGCTACATGGGGTCTCTAACCTGCCAGGGCCACCTGTGCTCAGGTACAGAGGTCTGGATCCTTTTGACCTCAGTGGGAGAGCAGCAACTCATCAAAGGGCACATTTGACAAAAATGTTCTTTCCCAAAATCTGTCAGCCAATCTGCACTCTGGATCTAATAAATACCCAGTGCAGGGACAGAATCTCCTCTTTTGCTTGGGATTTGATTTATCCATGTATTTTTTTCTAAAGTAACTGAGCATCTCGTTTGCTTCCATATACCTGCTGTGCACTGAGCTGCTGGAGCCCATAATTTGCCCACAATTACAGTCTTGCTTTTTCCTAATTGGTGTAAAGACTGTTCCATTCAACAGATACCTTTCCACAGTTGCTGGTAGGTAACTTACTTAAAAGACCTCCTCATTGCACAGAATTTAACATGTTCTAGTTCGTTCATCCAGATGAATCCAATGACATTTAACTTGCCTGTTATTTCTCATCACATTACTGGGGTAGTCAGGCAAAGGCATCTGCTTTGTAATGGCTTTGCTGAAGACTTTTGCAATGAAGACCCAGCTGAAGATCACTCACTGTTCAAACATTTCTCTCTCTGACTCCCCTTTGCATGTCTTGTTCTTTCTGTTGGTGTGCCACAAACATTGACAATCTCCCAATCCACTGATGGGACTTGCAATAACCTTTTACAGAGGATCTTAAGAGAACTTTTCAAAAAAAATATTCAGACTATAATATTTCAGCAGCAGCCAAACCAGGTCCATCCCAGCCATTGTGGAGCAAACCAAGAAGTGCTGTGTGTACAAACTCAGGAGTTACTGGTCCAGAAGTAAAACTAAACCCAACCAAACCTTTCTGCAAAAAGTACAACACTGAGTGCAATCCACTTAATCAGGCCATATACAACATACACAAAACTATGCAATAGCCCATGTACTCAGAAAGATTCAATAACTAAAAATAAGCAAACTTTTCCATACGCAAACTAGAAAGTATCTTGCAGTTCTGACCTCATAAAACTGGGCATTTGTTGTATTCTTCTCTGGTTCTAATTTGTTTTCAGATTTAATACTTTAAACTAAGGTATTTATGTGTTACTTTTGTATTCAAGATCTTTCTTTTATTTTTTTATTTTAGGGATTTTGTAAAAGCTTTTATTCAATTTAAGAAGCCAATTGTGGTTGCTATCAACGGCCCTGCTCTGGGGTTAGGAGCTTCTATTTTACCACTCTGTGATATCGTTTGGGCAAGTGAGAAGGCTTGGTTTCAGACACCATATGCAACAATCCGACTCACTCCAGCTGGCTGCTCATCATACACATTCCCACAAATTCTGGGTGTTGCACTGGTAAGGTTTTCCACCTCAAATTGCTGAAGAAACTTTCATAAATTCCTGATCTTCTTTCTCTCTTTAAAAAGTAAATATTTTCTTAATTGTCTTTAATGGAAATTAAATCTGTGAAAAGTTCATCAAATCACTATGAACTTCTTATCACAAAATAACCTCAGAATTCAATATACAACATCCACTGTACACAAGAAAGATTGAAAAAGCTGAGATTGTCAACATCATGGTAGCAAAGTGAAGAAATACATTAGCAGACTAATCTTGCAGAGTAGTTGTCTGAATTATGTCAGGAGTGGGCAGTAATACAGCCAGATAGAGCTCTCTCCTCTTTAAAGATAATCCACAGTGATTCCAGTAAGACTGCTTAGCTTTTACCAGTATAATAAATCAGAATTTGCCCCACAAATATTTCCTACTGGGTTCCATGACTCTCAACATAGTATCACTGACAGTTACTCTTGTAAGATCAGCAACAGAGATTCACCATGCATGCCAGCACATTTCTCTTAAATTAAACCCATGCTGTGCTCTGGCCACCTGCACAATCCTTAAATAGCTACTGAAACTCCTTTTGAAGTATTCTGCAGTATGGAAAGATACAGAAGAACATTTGTAATTTAATCGTAAAAATAGCAGGCAAGTATGAGAAAAATTTTAAAAGAATTATAACCCAGGATTACCAGAATCTTTTGGTTTCACAGGCAAATGAAATGTTGTTCTGTGGGAGAAAGCTGACAGCACAGGAAGCCTGCAGCAGAGGACTGGTGTCACAAGTATTTTGGCCAACGACATTTAGTCAAGAAGTGATGCTACGAGTGAAAGAAATGGCATCCTGCAGTGCAGTGGTAAGAAATGAAACTCCCTCATTAAATGACATTTCTCAGAGGTAGGGTGTGCTCCCAAGGCTCATCACATGTGAGACCTCAGTTTCGACAAGCATACCTGTGAAAGAAAGGCTGACATCATAAAACCTGGATAGGGATCAGTGAGCTCGTGGAGTTTCTCATTTTCCAGGGATTTGGCAGGGGGGAGGGGGATTTATTTGCATTTATTTGTTTGAAAGGGGATTTTAGCACAGGTTTCCTTCATGAAGGTGTAACAGCCTGAAACTCTACAACTGTACTGGGAAACCTCTGTAAGAAACTTGATTTGCCTTTCACTTTGTCCTGGCCTGCCATTTTTCAGCTCAATCTGCCTTCTTTCTGCACCTGCACAGTTCCTGGTGCTGCAGAATGTTCTACACAACACCCCAGAAGGGTAGGATAGTGCCAGCTAAGCCCTGCTGTGAAGGAGAGGTGAGCTCCAGATGAGGGATTTGAGCACAGTCTGGTCACAGTGTATTATAACTTTCCTTTTGTGTACACAAAAGTTCAAAGAAAATCCTTCCCTGTCTTTACTTCCTAAGGGTTTTTCCTTCCAGGCCAATTCTGGGCATATCCTTATTTAAAAAACATGCAGTGAAGAAAGTGATACTGGGTGCAATAAAGCTGCAGTAATTAAAGTGAAAATTGTTATAGTTTCGTACTATATTTCCTATGCCTGAAACTGTCTGAGCATCCCTCAGTTTCATTTAAAAGATCTGCTGTAAAAGGAGGTAGAGACACAAGAGATTTTTAATTAAACAAAGTGTAGATTAGATCTCACAGTAGACATGGAGAATGAAACTCTCTGGAAATGTAGCAGAATTTTATTTGATAATACTGATATAATGTGCATTATTTGAGGGGAAAACCTCTGGGCTTTACTATGAATTTTTCCTTCCCTCACTGCTATATTGCAATGAAATTTTTTCAAACCCCTTAGGAAGACCGGTGCTGACTTGTGGACAAAGATAAACCTTCAAAGACTTTTTCACAGACCACAAAAAATACACAGGCCCCTCGATTAGCTATTAGCACCATTTACTTGAGTTAAAGACAAATACTACTTTGCAATAGCAGTGTTGAAACCCACAACACGCAGGAACTGGGCTTAACATGGAGGTGTTGACAAGGCTGAGTGAAGAGAATGCACCACCCTTCCCACAGAACACTGTGTTAGTTACATTAAATCTCCTGTCCTCAGAAAATCAGTAATGTAGGAATTAATATTTGGTTTGTTTGACCAGTTGAGTTCCATGTCAGATACATACTGGTGGTATATATTTAAAAATAATTTTAAAGGAATCTATCTCAATGTACTAAAAAATGGGTCTAGGAAAAAGGAACTGAACTATGGGAACAACAATGGACCTGCAGTTTGTGCCTTTCAGAACTTGGAACAATTACTAAGAGCTTGAGGTTGGGCTTTCTATTGCAAAGATCTCGGGTGATTTCTTGTATCTGCCAAGTAAATCTAACTCCAGAACACAGTCAGAGGGTGCTTGTTTTGCTTAGCACCATTCTTTTACAAAATATTTCACTTTTATAAAAATGTAAGCAAATAAGCTTAAAAAAGGGATTTGCAGTAAAGGCCGTTTCCTAGTAATTTCTGTATTGATAAGGAAATAATACATGTGGGAAAATTGTTAAAAGATAATGGACATCCACATTTGGGTTTCCTACATGTCTAACTTTAAAGGCATCCTTCCAGAAAAGAAAGCCAGTACACTGTCCCTCACACATTTTCATTTCAATGTGAAGGAGTTCAGCTCCTTCTTGTGCTTCATGGCAGATCTTCAATAAACTAAGGTACCTTAGAATCTCTCATTCTTTTAAAAACTTGGCACTAAGAACTCCATTCTTAAAGATGCTGACTATCAGCGAGTGGAGTTGTGGCTATAAATCAAATGTAATTTCTGTGCCCAAAGGAGTTATTTAGATTGTAAAACAGAGCCAGTAGTCTAAAGATGCTGGTCACGCCATCATCCATAGTAATTTTTTTCAGATTCACAATAAAATACTGAGTCATATTTTGGCTTTAGGTATTGGAAGAGTCCAAATGTCTCATGCGGAGCTTCCTGAAATCCGGACTTGANTGTCAGATGTTAAAACAGCTGTGGAGTTCTTCCAAAGGACTGGATTCATTATTCAGCTACTTGCAAGACAAAATTTATGAAGTCTGATATCTTGGCCTGACTCAAAGAGAAATTGCTCCAGCTGTGACCAGAGTCAGACATGACCATGTTTGAGAAGCAGAGGCAATGCATCAGTGAGGAATTTGTGACAGTGATCCCAATGCCTGTGGCTGTGTGAGGTGCACAGCTGCTTGTAGCCGGTTTGATTTTGTGTAACCAAGACGTGGGCAGGCGTTCAGTGCACGGAACCTGTGCAGAGGCTGCATCTTTCACATTGCTCATCCACATCCAACTCGACATTCCATGTGCTGAGAAGCACCACTGAGGCCCAGCAAGGCTCACCCACCTGTAAGGGTTTATTTTGTCTGTCCTTCTTAACTTATTCTTGCTGTTGCAGCACATCTGGGCTGACACAGAGGGCTCAGTCTAAAATCTGGGTCAGAACGACCTTCTGTAGACCCAAAAACCATACGTTGGAAATACGTTAATTATTTTTTCTAAGTTCTAACAGTTTAATGGAAAAATCTGATAATTTATATGTATAATATGTAAAGTTAGTTTACAAAAACTACTAGAATTTTTTTCTTTGTTAAATTTATTTAACTTATTTATTTTGTGTTCATATTCAGCTGTTTATTGATCACAGATCTTATTTTCATATTTCCCTTTTGACTGAATGAAAGGCATCACATGAGAATGCAAACACATTTTTAGCAGCAAACTGAGTAGAAGAATAAAGAATATATAGAAAACCCACAGAATGTTGTGGGCAGTAAATGAAACAGCCACGTGCATGCTCTTCTATGTGGAAATTTGTACAAAAATGTATGAAAACAGATTCATTTGCCAGGGTTAAGAGAAAAAAAGTGGGTTCTGACACAGTGAGTCCCCCTTAAGTCTCTCTTCACTTTCTGCCTTCTTGAGGAGCACTGAAGGGCTCACCAACCAGATGCTTTATTTCAGTTTACTATATTCCTGTTAGCCAGATACCAGTAACAGGGTGAGTGGTGCCGTTCTGTGGCATCGTACTGTTTTTCAGGTTTAAACACCCCTTTTGGTCTGAAGTCTAAAAGCAAATCCTTATGAGCCTTAGTCTAGTTGCCTGATTCCTCAGGTGTGAGATAATTTCTGCTCTGGAGGCCTTTGGGTGTGGGCCAGCAGTTTATACAAGGTGCTAGGCATTGAACTCAGTGGAGGCAGAGGTTTAGTTTTGCTTTTCCCAGCTCTCCACATCTGGCCACCCCCCCACCTGTTACAAGAACTTACGGCTATCCATAAAAGCAGTCCACAAAAAACAAGGAAAATCCAATCTGCTCTTTTTGAATGTGATCCTGGTCTTGTTCAGTGACACTGACTGACTTCTGAACACTGGATCTCTCTCAGTTCTTTCCTGCTATGGGCAGTTCATGTGGAAAGGACAGGAGCATGCTCTGAGACTTCACTTGCCATTATAATACGCCCAAATTGAAACCTCTTGAAGCAGAAGCTTTGCACATTTGTTTGCTTTGTAATTTGTGCACTTGCTCTCCATCCTTGAGCTCAGTGACTTACTATGATTTAAACCTCTGCAAATGAGGCTGCTCAGCTTTCTCCCTCTTAGCATTTCCATAAAGAGTTTCAACAAAGCCTTTATAAAGTTAATGAACAGGTGATTACAGTAAACAGTAGCCTTCAAGATATTAATGTAACATTTCTTTTCCCACGAATAATTAGAAGTGCTGGTTTTATGCTCTAATTGTACCACTGAATTTTAAGGAAATCATTACTCTAAATGCAGAAGTTCTCATGGAAATTCTTCATTAAAAAGACAGAATCTGGCTTCCAATTAGCGTGTTTAAATTTTTTTTTAAAAGCAACTTACTGAAACCATTAGCTTACTTTCAAACAACTGCAAGAGAACTCTTTCAATAACTATTTGAAGTGATGGATGCTTCGTTTTACACCAACCCTTGCTTTTGTCCACAACCTGCCAGCAGCGCTGCAGGGCGCGCTGGATCGAGGCCCCGGGCCCCCAGCAGGGCAGGTGCACACGGAGTCACCTGGAAAAAGAGGGATCACCCAAGTGAAAACCACTCACACACACACACACACACACACACACACACACACACACACACACACAGAGTTTGCACAATCAGGCCTCCAGCATATACCTTCAGAAAAAGAAAAAATGCAATGGAAAGTACCACGGTTCCTCAATTTCCTTTGTTTCCTTTATTCCCGTCCAGAGAGCCATAAGTCCTAGTCATGTGTTAATAAGATATAAGGAAGTTTATTTCAATACTAAGCTTAGTTTTTGTAGATAAATATAGCAAGATTGCTCAGCAATGTGAAGGAATGCGTTCCGAATGAGATTTGCAAACAGAGAAGAATCTTACGTTGTTGGATCTTTTAAACTGCACCATTTCATCTGAATTTTCAGATATCTGTATCTTAGCATTTTTTATGACAAAGGAATGGTTAAAATACATTTTCTATAATTATTTTTCCATTAAAGCAAGCGCTAACCATAGTTAACATTTTTAATTATTCATATCTATACAGTTACAATCTAGTTTTCATGGAATCTATTTTCCCTTCAAAAAAGAGTAATAACAATGTTGAAAGCTTCTTTTCCAGTATTTAAATATCAGAATCTGAATTTTCTCTTGTGTTTCTATCCTACTAGGTATTCAGATATCTAGATGTATTGTACATATTAGTCTGGGTACCTTTACTAATATTCACAGTATTTAAGATTTAAAATGCAATTTGTTGTTTAAGTATGTTATTTTATTCTTGTGTAAATTGTTTTGTACAATCTTTAAAAATCTACAGTTTTGCATTTGTAGATATTAAAGGTAAGCAATTTATTTTGTGTTGTCCTGCATGTATATTTTTGCTGTAGATAAGTGTTGCTTAGTTTACTATTTCAGTACATTTCTGTTTAAATAAATAAGCTTACAAACTTTAATACAGTATATATTTTCAAAATATAAACTTTTATATTTCTGTGGTAGGTTAGGGTATGCGTTTTAGGCAATCTTTTTCACTACTATAAATTGTTCTTTTAATCTATAATATAATGGTTTTGTGCCAATAGTTTTTCATTAGAATAAAATGCTCTTTTAATGTTAGGGATGAACAGACAATTTTGGTTGGGGTTTGTTTTATTTTTGGTTTTGGGTTTTTTAATTATTTTGCCAGCCTTTACAGTTTTAAATATAATTTATAAATGTATTGCATTTGTGAATAAGCCTTACCATTAGGTATACAAGAAATCTTTAAAGCTGCATAATTGCTTATGTAGCACTAAGGACTTCCCCAAATAATTGCTGTAAGAAAGTTAGGAAATCAGAGTACAGGGCCTTAAGTTTTTCTTGTGAAAAGGGTAATACGGGTTGTTTCTTTTGAACAACATAGGTAGACTTGTCAGCATGGGCTTTGTTATATATAAACTGTGCATTTGTGCTCCCAACCATGGTAGTTTAATCTCAGGCTTTGTGTGGCTGGGTCTATAAAAGTCAAATCTGGCTAAAGCCAGCACTCTTTAGGAGACACTAAAGAAGTTTACATAAGAGACTTATAGACAATCTTATCATAGTACATTTGGGTACTCGCTATCCTCGATGTGTTATCTGTGTCTGCCCAATTAACCGTATGTTTTAAGCCATATTAAATCTCTTTACTGCTATTTTAAATACTACACTGAAAGTCATTCACTAGCTTGCTTGCTCACAGACAGGATTTCAGTTTTTAGTGAATAAAAATGTTATGCCTTCCATAAAAAACAAAGGACCAAAGAATTGCATTATTCTAACAAAGCATTAGTTCCTTTGCCAGTGAACTAGTTTGACATTTGTACCGAAGATCAAACAGTCTCTGCTTCAAACACTGCGTCCTCATCCATGTCAGGTGTAAGGGGGAAAATGTATCCACTGAGCTATTGGGAAAGGAGTGATGTTCAGCTGGGATGGCATGTCTATTGGTAAGGCTTATTACCAAACCTCTGAGATGAAGCAAAGAACCAAAAATTCACAAGTTATGTCAATGTAAATTTCTTTTCAGAACTTGCACAAATAATTAATTGTAGAACTTTGCAAATTAGGCCCTTAAGTTATTTTGTCAGAATGCCATGGAACAGACTAAAACAGTTTCTAATATTTGTAATGATGAGTACATATTATAATATTATAAGGGTACAGGCACCCCTATATCACAGTGTTGTAAATATTTTCTGAAACTGGTACAGTACTGAGGGACTTGTATCTTCTGATATATCAAATATTGACTGTCTAGATCAAATTGTACACAATTTATTTGTTGATGGTCCTGTAACTAGTGTATGGACACATTTCTGGGTGCCTTAGAAGTTGTATTTTTCATGTGTGTTAATATGCAGTATTTATACATTGTGAGAAGCTGCTTTGAATAAAAACATTGAAACTTCATTTCTATGCAGTGATTTTCAGTTTTACATAATCAGAATGAACATGAATGGTAGCCATTATATATGATAATACTACTCATGGGCTCCTGCCTTTCCAAAGAGACCAGGCACATAGCGGGCTTTTCAAAATAATTTTTTTTTTTTAATGGCAAAGCCCAGCCCACTAAGAGACACTGCACGAAGAACTCTCTGAAATCAATTATGATCCATTTCAATTACCATTTCTTCATCAAATCCAAGAAAACCAGCAAGAATTGTCTCACTAAAGCATTTCTAGGACACCATTATTACTTCTACTATTTGATATGTGCACATCATCTAAAGCATTCCTGCCCAGAACCAGTTGCTCCAGGCAGGATTTTGGTTCCACATGAGGGAGTTTGATTTTGAAGTGGTGTTTGCCAGGAGGGCCAAGATTCAGCCCAGCCCCAGCCTGGTGCAGAAGGTGGATCAGCCTCTAGGCCCCCCAGCTCCAGACAACATTCTTGCCAGGGGCTCTTGTGTACCATGGGATTCTTTGCCCATAGCATCCACAAATGCTATTTCCAGTCATGTATCTCCTGTGATTAGAAGAGTAACTGTAAATTACTTCTGCCTGGGGCAGGAAGGGAAGGATATTTTTACAGAGACCCAGAGTTATCCAACCCAGCTATACAACAAGGTCTGAAAAAATTACCTACAGTTCACTCAAAGGAAACAATTATGTTCTAGCCATTATATTGGTTGGCTTTAAACTGACAGACACTGTTAGTAAAAACCATGGTCAGCTATTTGGAACAGAGGATTGAGCAATTTAGTCTTGCTTCACTATCAACAAATCCAATTATTTATAACGGTGACTCTTGTCAGGAATTACCTTATTGTAGCATCCAATGGACTGTGAGCAACGTGCACATGATGAACAGGGTGTGACACCTTTCCTGTCTACCAGTTTTATTCATGAGTCTGGTTTAGTTTTGACACAAATTGTTAACATGTGAATTTCGTTTTAAAGAATGCATTTTTAAAAGAAAGCAAAAATTCTTTACAATTAAAAACTTCATTCAAAAATTTGGGGGGAGGTTCAAGCTTTTTCAAATGTCAGTCCTTGTTGCAGCAAAGTAATACACAAATTACATGGAAGAGCAACCTGTTAAGTAGATACAAAGAAGTAATTGCATGTATAAAAGAACAGGTGGTAATCCCAATTAAGGTATAAAAACAGGTAAAAACTCTGCATACACTAAGATGTGCCATCTCTCATTTTGAATAACAAACAATATTGCATGTGGCAAGAGCAAGGAGAGGTTCTGAAAGCAAATGAAAGCATGTGGAAAAAGAAGAAAATTTTTAACAACTGTGGGAGTTCAAAGCAAAACAATTGTCAGAAGTTGGACTAGGGGACAGTTTGGTTGCAAAGGAAAAAATCAGGTTTGATGCTGGACATGTTACCTTCAGGAATTCACCTCTCCTTGGGTGTCTTATTTATCATGAAACCCCTTCAGAAGTAAAATTTAATCAAACATAATGCATCTCTTCACAACTCTGACTTAACCTCAAAACCAATCTCCAGTCATAGCATGGAGAGTTTCAGATTACTGAGAAAGCCAGACTAACAATCCCCTCTGGAATTCAAACTACTCGAATTTTGTTAGCACCACTTTGCTTTAATTTATACTCTTTCCTTGGTTTTACAAATTTCCTCATTACAAATATATAATATAATAAAAATAGAACTGTTAGAAACTTTGTTAAATTCCAATTATTAAGTCTGTCAGGTGTGACTCAGTAATTTTCATCTGGAACAGTTAAAAGTACTATGGGAGAAAGAAGACAATTTTCATTTAGAGAAAATGAAACATTTTGTATTTAGTAACTTTAAAATTCTATGTTGGACTGTATTACCTTTCCTTATAACTTCATGACACTGGTGTCACTTGAACAAACCCCACAGATCCAAGTCAAGAGCCACCAGCATCAATGGAGATCCTCCTCCTGACTTCACTTGCTCCTAAAGAAACCCCAATGGCTGACAGATACCACAGCAAACTCCTTCACAGTAATAGTACAGGAATATCTTGCAGCCATCTCTTCAAAAGATAAGGTGCTCTGATGAGGAGCACATAATTAGCTTTGGAGGAAGGATTCCATTATTTCAAAATTTAACAGCAGTCTATGAAATTTAGTATAGATTTCCACCTTTCTGATGTTATTGCTGACTCCTGTTAGTAGAAAAGCATGCCCTGCTGTGTTTTAGCCTTCCTCAACTCTTCAGTCACATTTATCAACTTGAATTGTGGATGACTGTGTAACACATCTGTGAAACTGATTTTACACATTGGTCACAGACAAATATATTTGTGAAAGAGTGTAAAGAGAAAAGTGAAAATGCTCTTTGCAACCCGGAGTCATGGTTGAAAAAGGCTGTTGAACTGTTGCTGCTTCCTAAGATGAAATAAAAAGCTCATCTAACATTGGAGTTTCAAGAATGAAAAATTATTTAAACACTAAGCAGCAATCTTGACTCGTTAGAACTGAGTTAATTACTATCATCTAGAAATAAGTTATTCACAGTCATCCAGAAATATGTTTCTGATAGGTCTATAAATAAGTACTACACCATCTATTACTCCAAAAAGATCAG